TGAATGCTTTTCCAAGAGAATCGATATAAACGACATCATCAGGCATATTGTGCCATAAAAAAAGAATATAGTATGTCTTCTATCAGAAAAAGAGACATCCACCTGGTGAAAAAGAGTGTGGCAGTTGGCAAAATAAGAATTGGTCCTTTGGAAGAGACGCCAAACAGGTGCTTGGCTTTATATTTCAACCCCTTTATAGTCTTCAATATCAAAACCGGGTACCCCAGAATAGGGGATGTATCTAGCATACATATCGTAATCAGAAGAGATGTTTGTGGGAGGAAGACCTCAAAAATCAGAGCTGGAGATAACAGGATGTAGTGCAATGGGCTTGTAACAGCATGCTCGTTAGGATTTTTGTGTCTTGGCTCAAAAGCTTTTCCCCATGAATTCACTTGGGGAATAAAGACTGGCTCTTGTTGAATAAATTAGGGAACACAAAGTTATGGAGGATGCCCCTGAATAAATAGTCGGATGCGCCAGTGTGGCAACCATATCTGACGTTGGTTAATAAGAACGAAGCACTGATATAAGATCCTATAGTAAATGGGAACCATCTGCTGATAAGATGTTCCAAGAACTTGAGATTATGTAGCACTCCATGGTTGGGAGCAATTCCCAAAAGACGAGGAGAAGAGAGAACTCGTTGCGGTAATAAGTTTATTGGTCATTATCAGAGCTTTCATGACCTGACTTATATGAGTCCTTAATCAATTATCTTCCTTCTCGAAGAATTCCCAACTACGGGACAAAGCTTGCATATATACCACACGGAGTTATTCCCTAACTGATCCCTGAACATGTGGAGCAAGAAATCAAGTTGAACCTCTATGGAGAGCACCATGTCTGAATAAGAATCCCCAATCTTCGAGTATCTTTCATGGATGCATGAATATGCATGGGATGCATGAACGAATGCCATGTCATGTTCCGTCATTTCCAAGGAATTTACGTGCTTTGATTTTGATTTTACGTAAGTAAGGATAGAAAAGTTTGGCACAAGACTTACAAATATGATTCTTTGGAAATAACAAAACATGTATGCTAAGTATGTGGTTAACCATGTTATATATGCAAAGACATGAGATCAAAGAGGGTTAAGGTTCCATCATTTCTAAATATTATTACTGCGTTATTCTGAATCCTATGAATATCACCAGATCAAAGGTTTGTCATAGCTTCCGCACATATAAGAACCAAGTACCATGTAGATCTCCCATTGTACGGGGTCAAGGCTTCTGGAACATTGGATATTGCTGAGCATTTTCTGAATATGCCGGGAATACTAAGATCGAAGGCCTGAATGAACCTCCAAGTATACAAATCAGGAACTCAGAAAATGAATCTGAGAACCATATAGTCACCAACATGATATAGCATCTGAATAAGGTCATCAACAGAAATGCAGAACAACATCATTAGAACCAATAATCACCGTTTGATCATAGCCTCCATCTGGGCATGAGTAACCATATGAACATAGTCACCATCTGAGCACGAGTAATCATTTGAACATAGTCACCAACTGTACCTGTAATAAGAATTCTCTCCCCACTCACGGGTGAAGACTAGGTCAGGGTAAGACAATGGTAACTCGAAAATCACAGGTCCGCCTGAAAGTGATATGGGCTTACCCACAGACGTGGGTGCCGATAGCAATTCATTTAAACCTCATCCAAGCATGGTATATGACATAACTGCACTAATCAGACCACATCCTATAGTTGTCATGCCCTCATTCTATTCCTAGTGTCCTAGTGCACTTTGGCCTTGGTACTGGGCCTCTTACCTCAATAGTAACATTCTCGCCCAAACAAGAAGTAGATCCAGCATAATAGATAACCAAAAGGGAAAGCAATAAAATGAAATGCAAACTTATGCTCAGATAAACATGTACAAATGAGTAAACTGAAAGCATAAAAATAAACACCCAAAGAAAAAAAAAGAGCTAGGATCGACTCCGGGATGGACCAGCATTTGGTCGACCTGTCCCCAGTGAAGTCGCCAGCTGAAACAACCGGCTGAAAATCATCAAACAATGAAGTCGCCATCGAACATCTTTTATCCCACGTGTAGGGAAAGGTAAACATCGAGAAAACCTGAGGAGGGAGAAGTCACGGTATTGCGACCGAGAGATTGGGTAAGTGAGTTTGTTACGCGAGGGGAAGTATTAGCACCCCACACGCCCGTAGTACTCTACGGTATCCACTCTTGTTATCTGTCTTATGGGTGTGTTTAATCTATGCTTACTGTTTATTACACTACTGAAGGGAGAATGCATGCAAAAGAAAGGGGAAAAGAATGTAGGGAAAATAAAAGTTGTGCTCGTTCGGGCCCTACCCCGATGCCTATGTATCCTTTTAAGGAATCAGAGCAGTCGTAGTTTGGATTATATGTTTTTTGTTAGTTTGTATTTTTTAATGAACAATATTAATTTCGCCTTCTGCCATAACTCGACCTTTGGAGACTTACGCGTCAACACAAAAGTGAATTAACATATTCTTTCTGAAAAGGTTTGGAGAAAATGTGTCTGGGTGCACAAAAAGTTTGGATTTGTTTGTGTTTGTAGCGAACAATGTTAATTTCTCCTTCTACCGCAACTCGACCTTTGGAGACTTACGCGTCAGCACAGAAGTGAATTAACATATTCTTTTGAAAAGGTTTTGAAATAAAGGCCCGAAGGCAAAAAGAGTTTTGTGTTTGTTGGTGTTTTTGCTTATAGATAACAGCTAGTTAATCTCAAGAGAATGATTTTAGCCATTTCTCTACTTATTCATGAAATGAGTCTTTGAGACTTGAACCATACCAAGGCTTATAATAAGAGAACAATAAGGTCGAGAAGAAACCCGCTTATCGTCTCACATACTTAACGAAGATATGATTCTCGTCAGTAAATTTTTAGTATTTTGAAGTTTGTAAAAAAAAGAAATTTTTGTTTTAAATGCATATGCAAAGGGGGAAAGAAAGTCACATGAAGACTAGCCTGTTTCTAAACCTAATTTTATCATGCGTTGTTAGACCTAAGTCAAGGATGAATGAAAGGGAAACGTCTACCTAATGTTAGCATGCATATGGTTTGCGATAAAGCCCGGTTTCTCATGATTTCTAGAAAAGCAGTAAAGAAACGTGATAAAGTGAGGAAATGAGGGATGAATTGAGGTCACGATAATACCGAACGGAGAAGGTTCGTTGCCTCTTCAAAACCATGCAAGCAAAGAGAAAACTCTACATAAAACTTCCTTGATAAAAATTTGCGCTCTTCGTCTGCTTTGAAATCTTCTCAAACTCAAGTATCTTTTTTTATTCCAAAATTTCACACAAAATTGGAATTAAAATCTACCAAAAACATGTCTAAAATAACAACAAACAAAGTTAATAAAAGATTAAAATTCTATTCTAATATTTTTGTGAACTCTTATCATGTAAATAACTAAGCAAAAATCATATAGAAATATCACGCAAAACTATTAATAAAAAATAATAGAAAAACACTCAGGGGTGAATTACATAAGAAGGAAGTGGTATGTATAAGCAAGTTGGTGTTAAGTCCATTAGACTTGGTCCACAAATAGTTTTTTTTTATAAATCAGAAAGCTAACAAAAATTTCCCTTTGGGCCTAAGACAAGGGTGGTCCATTATACCCTCATGTTCAATTTAGCCCTAATCCAATATGCTATTGACCAAATTTTTATTAATTCAATTATCTAAAACAAAAAATAATAATGAAATTAAATTAAAAGAAATTTAGAGAAAGAAAAGATGAGACCGAACACAACATTTTTGAGTTGGGTTTACAGAAGATAATTCGACTTCACATGGAGACCCGGTCTTCTTCTCTCTCTTGTTCGCAAATGACGCAAACCAAAATTCAACCTTCTTCTCTGGTCCGAATCACCAACACGAAGTCATCTTCATCGCAACTAGGGGTTTCTACACACGTATCCTAACTCAAATCTCAACCTTGTTTCCGCTGATTTCTCATTGTGATCCAAATTTAGTTCATGGAAGAAAACCCTAAGACGCTCACAAATGGTGATTGAACCATGAAGAAGTGTGATTTCAATCCGCAAGCAAAGGGGAAATATCCGGCAAGTCATGAACCATATTGTGGTGCTAAGAGATCAAGGGAAAGGATCGTGCCACCTGCCTCGATGATGGAGATTATGGTGTGTTTCCGATGATGCGTAAGTTCTGCTAAATCTTTCTCATCTTCTTATTCTATGTTCTTCTTCTACCTCTGTGAATCAATCCTCCATTTCCAGTGACTTTGTGTTTTCTCGTGAATGAAGGTGATGATGCGTGTTGAGAAGTTGATGACAAAGAGCGGTTCTGAGAAGATGAGGGTTGAAGGTTATGGAGAAAGCATAATGATGATGGGAGAAGGCTCTTCGTTACGGAGAAAGATGAAGATTTTTGGTGAGTATTCGTGAAGCCTTTTACCGTTTTTTCCTTCTGTGAATTCCTGTAGAGTGAATCCCTGTTGTATCCTATCTCCTCTCTTTCTGTTATGATATTGTTATCCTTTGTTTTTGGAAGTTAAGAGTTTTTTCATAGGGGTTTGTTAGGTAGTTAGAAATGGTTGAGGGATGGTTAAGGGTAGCTGGAATTCTGTTGAAGCTGTTAGAGTTTGTTATGAGTTTTGAGGGTTGTCGAATTCTGTTATGTGAGCTGGCAGGTTGGTTTGAAGTTAGTTATAAGTTGGAACTAAGTTTGTTAAAACTATAAGTTAGTTAGTAATTATGTTAGGCTACTGTTAAGAGTGAGGTAAGGTCAGATTAAATAGAGGTTAAGTTAGCTGTTGAAAGTTAGTTTATGAGAGTTAGTTAGAAGTGAAATTTTGTTAGGTGTTAGGATTCTGTTAGAAAGTTTGGTATAGAAATTGGCTTAGAAAAAAAACAGTTTGGAGGTTTCTTTTCTTATATCAGTTGGAGCTGTTCTGTTAGGGATTAGTTACAGAATGGTTAGAGATTTGTTATGAGGAGGTTGATGAGTTGGAGTTTTAGTTATGACAGTTAGGAGGTTTTCTGTTATATGAATAAACCGGGTTTTGGATTTGGTTAGAAGTTGTTTCCATATCTCTGGGCCAGTAAGTGATAAATGGGAAATCCTCTCTTCTAGCAAGACCATTATGCATATAGCAGTTACCACATATGAGTGCATAATACTGCCTTGCATCCTCACCCACAAGCAATGCTGCAATTTGAGCAATCCATCCCCCATCATACTTTGTTGAGCTTTGAGGTCGGTGATGCTCAACAACTACAATCTTTTTCTGTGTGCGAGTCTGTGTTTGATCAGTTCCCTTAGAAGCAACTAATTGTTGATTGGGATGATTTGCAGTGGCTGTCCCCAGAGTAGTGGATTGAGTTTTCCCTTTGTTGCGATTCCTAATTCCACTAGACTGCTCAGGTTCAGCATTGTTGGTCTTTCCTGTCGGAGCACCAGATTTAGATTCATCTGCCATGTGCAGTTTCAAACCTGATTCTGCACCCAATCTTGGATCCAAAGCAGTTGCAGCAGCAGCCTTTGCTACTGGGTCAGTGTCATTTTTCTGAATAAGTTATTGAGTAACGTAATAGTTTTTCTTCTCTTTTGAGGTCGTCAATTTTTCTTTTTGTTCAAGGTTTCCATGGACGACCGTGAATGAAGCTGTTTTAAAATTTTGAAAGTGTAACGAACGATAACTCAAAAAGGCCTCACATTTTGAATTGGTTTTTCATATATCGAGTAATTTGTATGAACATAGGATACTTTGGCAAGATTGCTTGTATTGACTTGGATTTTTTGTATGAATGTGCATGGTAGTTCTTTCTGTTTATACAGGGCAGTAACGCAGGAACAAGGGTAGCACATGGACGCAATTTGTGGTTTTGACATGAAGTCCAACATTTGGTTATTTGTGGATGTAGGTAATATTGGCAACTAGCAGCATACCGGACAAGAAGAATCTGCCCATTTTGAAATACAGGAACAATGGAAAGAATGATTGCATATGGTTGTAAGAATTCCACTTGTGTCTTGATCTAATCGCTCAAGGCAAACTGGACATGTTGGCTGTTCAGTTGAAGGGGCATGAAGATTGAAGAATATATGAAGATGGCGAACTTTGGCATGGCATGGACTTGGAAGTTTACTCATGGAATTTTAGCACCTTTAGGACTAAGGAATTTTGTTCAAGTACATTTTGTAATAGTTTTTTTCTTTGTGGATTATTGGTGCAATGTGATTGTAATGATTTTATAATGAATGTTTGGTTTGGATGAACTTGAAATTTATAGTGTGAATTATAAATGACTTTGAGCTTGTAATTCACTTCAAACCAAGGTAATGCAACATGTTCTTTGAATAAAATGTAACTTTGGGAAATCTTGAATCAAATGACAAATTATTAAGTATTCAAACTATTTTCTTTCCATTTGATTTTGAGTTTGAAATGTCGGGTGATGAATTTTATGGACGGAGTTTAAATGACAAAGTCTTGAAAGTTTAACTTTAAAAATGCTTGAAGACATGAAAGCACCAAATTTTCTTGTGGGGTATTGTTACACTTGAACGAAATTGAATGGAATTGGATAGCGTTTTCTTGAATCATGAATGAAATGGTTTGAATAAATTTTGAACACATGTGAACTTGAATCTGGAATAACGATGAACATCTTTGTAATGCGGATGAACTACGACTTGAAACAAGACCTTGCAGTCTGTACTTTACCTTCCAAGAAACTCATATGATCAATACTTAAGGCTCTTTGCCAACTTTAATCCAATCAAACACTTTCGAACATCTTGAATTCAAATCAAACTTCAAATCCAAATCACACTTGCATTCTCAATGAACTCCAAACTTCAATCTTGAATCCAAATCAACTTGTATGATAAGTAATTTGAATAGACAATAAGATCTTGATCCTAAAAAATTCACAACCTTGCCTTTTGCTTCATGCCTCATATTCCACGATTCAATCCACAAGTCCCTTATCTCGACAAGGTCCTTCCCTAATTGACGACCTTAAATCATCAAAGATGGGCATAAATGATAATGAAAGAATATGATCAAGATTAACATGAAACCTTATTTCCCCTGATCTTCAATTACTTGAACATTTATCAACAGATAGAAACCCTGATTTTTAATGAAATTTTCCTTTTCTGAACTAATATTTCTTTTCCTTTTTCCATACCATTCTTCAAATGCAACTTGAATGCCTAACACATATTAGATGAAAGTTCAAGGGAGACCTTGGTCCCAAAGTTAATTTTTCAAAGCTTACTTTATCCGAAGTCAACAAATCTTATCCACGTATCTTTAAACTTGGGCCATGATTATGCATCTCAAAGTCTCATAAGAGCTTGTAAGCCCATCAACCAGGTATGCCATGTTGAACAAAACCTTGCCTTGAATGCCTTGAACCTTTAAATACTTTGCATGAATTCTTCCACGAGAAGCCTACTTCAATCCAAATCTACTCGCATCGCAGATAACAAATGACAATGATGAGGACAATAATTGCGTTGGTTAAGGAGAAGTCCACGAATTCATATCTTAGGTCATGAACCAAGCTTCACAATTCAATCCCCAGCCCTTAGCGATCGATTATTTCAACTTGAAATTAGTGTCATGAGGAACATCTTACAGATGTATGATAAAGTCTGAATCATAGAAGAATTCCCTTGATGTGAAACCCTAGTCGCACAAATGAAAACCCCAGTATTTGCCAAGACTGGATAAAAGCAATTATATATTGAAGAGAAAGAAATCCTGTTAACCACACCTCACAATCTTGATTCCTCGGTTTAGATGCACAAAGAAATATCTGGATGAAACACCTTTGAACCACGATTTGGCAAAACATAAATTTATTAACTGAAGAGTAGATGGATGCCATGTCATAGTCATTAATCCTAATCAAATGATAAGCATGCTTATAGGAAGAGACGCCATGATTCAAAGCCCACATATGCTAGGTCACACCCTAGAGTTCTTGACCAGAATGACCTACAACCAGTTGTTCATCAGAAGATATTAGCCCTGTAACTTGGTGGAGAAGAAATCCAAAAATGAGCATGCTCAAAAACCCTAGCTTCACGGTCTTATACACCAGGAAGACCCAAGATAATCAAACTTATTCAACACATACACCTCAAACCAGCTGTAAACCCTAGCTCCCTAACTGCTGGTCTTTTGGACCTCAGTCGATCTATTTTATGAAAATGCGTGCGATGCACATGACCAATTAGAATGATGCAGATGAATGCAAAGTCCAAGCCAGCATAAAAATGCAATTAGGATGGCAAATTTTGGGGTGCAACATTAGGTCAAAATGATGCAATTAGACTCTTGAGATCATTCCTCAAACCAATTAACCATTTGCTAGGTCAAAAATCAGAAATTTCCCTTTCTCAGTCAAAACCCTAATTTTGACCATTTTGCCCTTTTGATGATTTGATCAAATTTCTTGAGGAATTATGGTCCAAACTTGATCAAATGATAAATATGAGTTCATAATGTTGATATGGATTTGATCATGCGTTTTTGGTACATCTGGCCATGACAGACAGCCGTAAGCCTCTTCTCATCAATTAGGTTCAACTGGTCAAACCGAGTTTGGATCCAATCATCTTCATTCAGCCCTACATCCTTTATTATTCTCAGAGAAGGTATTTGGACTTCAATTGGTAGAACAACTTCCATGCCGTATACCAAGGAAAAGGGAGTTTCCCTTGTTGATGTGCGCGTCGTGATACGGTAACCGTGGAGAGCGAATGGTAGCATCTCATGCCAGTCCTTGTAGGTTACTGTCATTTTTTGTATGATCTTCTTGATGTTCTTATTTGCGGCTTCGACAACACCATTCATCTTTGGCCAGTAAGGAGAAGAATTATGGTGTTGGATCTTAAATTGCACGCATAGTGCGGTGATCATAGTATTGTTGAGATTCGTACCATTGTCTGTGATGATTCTCTCTGGGATGACGTATCGACAGATGAGATTCTGTTTGATCAATCGGGCCATAACATTCTTGGTAACGAAAGATAAAGAAGCTGCCTCAACCCACTTTGTGAAATAGTCAATGGCCACTAAGATAAAGTGGTGTCCATTAAAAGCTGTAGGTTTGATTTCTCCAATCATATCGATGCCCCAAATCGCGAATGTCCAGGGAGCAGTTAGTACATTTAGAGTAACTGAAGGCACATGCACTTTGTCAGCATAGATCTGACACTTGTGACAGGTTCGTGAATGCTGATAGCAATCTGCCTCCATGGTAGACCAGTAATACCCTGCCCGTAGGATCTTTTTAGCCATCGTATGCCCACTAGAATGGGTGCCAAAAGTTTGTTCATGTAGATTAGCCATGACCTTTTCTACCTCAGCCTTGTCTACGCAACGAAGAAAAACAGAGTCATGGTTGCGTTTGTAGAGAATTCCATTACTGAGGAAGAACTTAGCAGAGAATCTTCTCAAGAACTTCTTATCATTGACTGAAGCTCTTTCGGATACTCTTGAGCCTCGAGATACCTCTTAACTTCATGGAACCAAGACTGGTCCATTACTTCTTCAGTGTCGATCTCGTGACAGTAAGCTGGTTCGTCCATTCATTCAATGGTGATCTCGGGAGCCTCGTTACCCTACTTGAGTTTAAACATGGATGAAATTGTTTCTAGCGCGTCTGCTAGTTGATTTTCCTCTCGTGGAAAATGCTCAAAGGTAATTTCCTCGAAATGTGGGATTAATGTCACCACATGTTCTTTGTAGGGGATGAGGTTAGGGTGCTTCGTGTCCCATTCTCCTTTGATCTGACTGATGACTAAGGCTGAATCTCCGAACACACTTAAGGACTTGATTCCTAAATATATGGTAGCTTTGAGACCAAAAATGCACGCTTCCTATTCTGCCATGTTATTAGTACAATTGAAGCAAAGTCTTGCAGTGAAAGGAGTATGATATCCTTCAGGGGATATGAGTACATCACCTATGCCATTACCGAGTGTGTTGGAGGCTCTATCAAAAACCAAGGTCCATCGGGATCCTTGTTCAGGTCCTTCATATGATATGAGTTACTCACAATTGTTTACCATCATGATGTCTTCATCTAGGAACTCGAACTTCATGGACTGATAGTCATCCACAACTTGATGAGCAAGGTGATCGGATAGTACACTACCCTTTATTGCTTTTTGGGTAGTGTACTAAATTTCGTATTCAGTCAGAATCATTTGCCATCTTGCTATCCTCCGAGAGAGGGCAGGCTTCTCGAATATGTATTTAATTGGATCCATATTAGATATCAATAAGGTAGTATGGGTCAGCATATACCGTCTTAGCCGGCGAGCAACCCATGCCAGAGCGCAACAAGTTTTCTCGAGCAGTGAATATCTTGTTTCACAGCCGGAAAACATTTTGCTCAGGTAGTAAATAGCATGCTCTTTTCGGCCAAACTCGTCATGCTGCCCCAGCACACACCCCATTGAATTTTCTAAAACAGTTAGATACATAATTAAAGGTCTTCCCTTGACTAGCGGCATCAAAATAGGAGGCTCTTGTAGGTACTCCTTGATCTTGTCAAAGGCAGATTGGCATTCACCATTCCATTTGACTACTTGATCTTTCTTCAGTAATTTAAAGATTGGTTCACAAGTGGCTATTAAGTGTGAAATGAATATGGCAATGTAGTTTAGTCGTCCTAAGAATCCTATGACTTCCTTCTCAGTGTGAGGAGAAGGCATTTCTTGTATTGCTTTCACCTTGGCAGGGTCCACCTTGATACCTTTACCGCTGACGACGAAGCCTAGGAGTTTACCATACTTCACCCCAAATGTGCATTTATTCGGGTTCAACCTCAGCTTGTATTTCTTCAGCCTTTCAAACAATTTCTGCAAATGGTCAAGATGTTCCTCTTCAGTTTGAGATCTGTCTATCATGTCATCCACATAGACCTCTATTTTGTGATGGATCAT